CAGAACCCGAAAGCAGTGTCACACCGATAGCCAAAAGCTAACAGCAACGGCGGACAGGCCAAGAGAAATGGGTTTCCTTTCGAGTTTAGGCTAAAATGAGCGGAGAAGAAGCAGACGCGTAGGTCGCGTTTATAGTTCGCAGCCGGGGTTAAACGATAGTAATCGTCATTTTCTGTGGGGCCCCGTCGGTTGCACTTGCGCGATTCCCAAATCGACTGCCCACCTGAACTGTGAACATAAACGCGGCATTACTGTTGATGGAAATTCGATTTCCTCTTCTTTAGAAACTCATAAAAAGTTCTAGGACTCAAAGGGGAGGAAAATATTGCGACCAAACAATTTCAAACATCATTGTGAATGAGTTAGGGGTAACAACACCTGGTCAACCTACCTATTCCCTGATAACCTTACTGATAAGCAGTGCTCTGAGACGAGCACTTCTTTAAAGCGTTGTCCATTGTGACAAATTAAAAAAAAACTGCACAGAGCTAAGTAATTAAACCATTAATTTGAAACTGCAGGAGACAGACACTTCAGAATTCACCACACTATACAATTTTGCAGGCTTTCACCTATCTCTATTCTGCAGTGAACGAACAGCTGTCAGTATAAAAACCAAAGAAACGCGTGGAATTCGAGAAAAAGTCTATAATTGCGCGAGAAAACTCACATCTGCATCAATTCTCGATTCGACTATAAATTCTGCCATCGATTCGAAATCTGATGGGACGTCGGACAGGGTCTGGAAAATGATAGCATCAATTCGAATGGCTGCAAGGCTCCCTAGTCAAGACCAAAAGAAAGGAGCAAATCTAGGCACAAGCGCCTAGCACATGAACTGATTAACTACTGAAAACTATGAGACAACAACAATTGACTAAAAACCCATAACCGACCTTGATCCATTGATTGTCCAGTACGTCATGAGCTGAGAATCGTTCTTCTTTATCGGTATTTACGAGAAGTAGAATGAGCGCTTTAGCCGATGCAGAGATCTTATCCCATGATGGCGATGGAAAGGTTACTCGACCGCGCATTATTTGAGCAAATAGATCGTCTTGGGACCCGTCGGAACTGAAATGTCAAACCCTCCACTCTCTATAGAAAAGGAGAACGGAAATATGAAACCGTGCTTGTAATTGGAAATTAGGAAAAAGTTTGAGTCCAGCGACTTTTCACCAAAGCCAAAAAGTGGAACAGAAAAATATAACGACCAAAAAGGTGTCAAAGTCACAAGTAACATAGACTAGCCAGTAAACGTTGATAGTTCGCAGTTCCACAGACAGCGAACGACTGCATACTTTAAAGAGGCCGGTACAAAAGCGAGTACTCAAAATTCAATTCAAAACTGAAGGACCAACAAAATTAACGAAATCACATGAATCAAGTACTTAAATTTGATTCAAATTGATCAAGGATGTATTATTAGTAAGAAAAATATTCAAATAAGAATAAACTCAAAACAATTCAGTTAAAATCGCATACCTTTGAAATGGAGGAAATCCACATAACATCACGTACAGAATAACTCCTGTCGCCCAAATATCAACCTTTTCGTCGTAACTGAAAACAACACTTGAAGTGATGCGAATCGCCTCGCGAAAATTCTAGGAGATGTTCTCATGTGGAAACAGCAAATAACTCTACGAAAAACTCATATTGGGGTTAAAGCGCAGGTATTGCAATGTTGCAGAGACATATGCGACACCACGCGCGAAAAGCTTTTAGGCAAAGCAACAGCCTTCTAGTATCACCACATCACCACATATATATAATTCGCTTCGTCTGTTTGTTTGTAAGTTTGTTTGTAAGTTTGTTTGTAAGTTTGTTTTTGTAAGTTTGTTTGTAAGTTTGTTTGTCTGTCCGGAAATTCGGTTCGACCTGAAGAACGACTTGGAGAGGTCGGGTCAAGGTGGGGATGGGTAGAGCATGGGACAAGAAATAAAAAGCACACTTGACCTATGCGAAGCCCCGCCCACAGTGGGCGGGGCACTCGCTGAAATTTTGGGTTTCACAGAAAAATGTTCATAATTCGCTTCCGGAGCAGCCTAAGATGGTGAAACAAGGGAATAAGGTTAGTAAGGAGTCGCCAGACTAACTATGGCAGACACATCCAAAAATTTGGGCCGGGGTCGTACCATCAAGGTGGCGGGGCTTCGCATAAAACTCAGTAACTTTCGGGTTCGCCCGAAGGGTGTTCAGAAGCCGCAAAAAGCTCAGTGCAGAATGTAAATATCTGGCGAGTATTGGGCATGCCCAAAGTGTGTTGAGATCCGCCCACAGTGGGCGGAGCTTGCCCTAAACCGCAGGATACTCACTTTAAAAGTTTGTAGCTCGGTTCCAGAGCACTGCAAAGACCGGAAAAACGTGCGTCAAGGTCGGCAAAGGTTCGCCGGTGAGGACTGTGGGGCAAAAAATTGTGGGCGGGGCCAGCCCGAGGTGGGCGGAGCCAGACAAAAATTCTCCAAAACTCTCCCAGAGCACTCCGAAGACCGGAAAAAAGTGGATTAAGGTCAGCAGAGGGTCGAAGGTGAGGACCGTGGGGCAAAAACGTTGTGGGCGGAGACTGCTTTGAGGTGGGCGGAGCCAGACAAAAGGGTCTGTAAAATAGTTTCAGAGCACTTTAGACACGGGAAAAAAAGTGGATTAAGGTCAGCAGAGGGTCGCCGATTGAGAAATGTGGGGTATACATATTGTGGGCGGGCCAGCCCGAGGTGGGCGGAGCCAGACAAAAGGGTCTGTAAAACGGTTCCAGAGCACTCCGAAGACCGGAATAAAGTGAATTCAAGTCAGCAAGGGGTCGCCGATTAAGAAATGTGGGGTATACATGTTGTGGGCGGGGCCAGCCCGAGTTGGGCGGAGCCAAACAAAAATTCTCCAAAACTCTCCCAGAGCACTCCGAAGACCGGAAAAAAGTGGATCAAGGTCAGCAGAGGGTCGCCAATGAGGATTGTGGGGCACAAAAATTGGGGCGGAGCCTGTTTCGAGGTGGGCGGAGCCAGACAAAAACTCTGCAGAACGGTTCCAGAACACATCCCCCCAAGGGGGGACACCGGAAAAAAGTGGATTGAAGGTCATTCAGGGGGTCGCCTGTGAAGAGTGCGGGGCACAAAAATTGAGGGCGGATCTGCTCTGAGGTGGGCGGAGTCAGACGAAGAATTTGTAAAACAGCTCAAGAGTACTTCAGACACCGGAGAAAAGTAGAGTACAGAACAAAAGGCGGATATCAGTTGAGTCTAGAAATATGTGAGAGAAGGTACGCGCGGCGAAGCCGCGCCCGCCCGGCGCAGCCGGGCCGTATCAGAAGGAGCCGCGCCGGCGTCAGCCGGCGAGGCGACTGGTATCTATCCGCAATAACTCGGTTAGGGGGGCAGGGCATTGACATGCGTCTCAACAAGCTTGTATAACACTAACTTGTGAAGACCTGCAGATTTCTGTGACCAAAAAGGTTTACTTGCACCACTTTGCAGCTTCGCAGGTCTTTACAGGTCTCGTAAGAGTGAGACCTGTAAACTCCTGACACAAACTAACAAAAGGAACTAGAGAAAGTGCAATGACTCCTCCAAGCCGAACACATCTCGTGGTCTTCCAAATAGTTTTCACACACTTATTCTATATAGATCCTTTAGAAGCAAAAAATACACAAGAAAAAAATCCGTTAAAACATATGCAGGTACGAGGTCCGTACGCGCCCTATACAGAAGTGCCACATACCCCAGAAGATGTAGTAAGTCCAACATATTAAGAAAAGAGAAAAAGGAAGAAAAAAGACTCTCATTTCCAACTCCAGAGAAAAAAGACAAAAAAAAGAAGAAGAGATCCTCTACAGCATTCAAAACATCGCGAGAGAACGAAAAATGAAATGTGCACAAAGCTGAGATATGGGCATAACATTCTACCCCATTCCGGACACAAATCCGTATCCAGCGATCATGTCTGATACCAATACATCATCGAGGCCACCTTCTCCCTTTTCGGCTTAATGGTATTCTACTTTAGCCCAGTGAACCGGCGAGGTTTAGGTTCAAACTTCGGCAGGACAAAGCGTTGGCGCAGTTTGACGACGGGGGGGCATTTTGCTTCCCATCGATGTGTCGACCCATCTAGATAGCCTTTTCTTGAGTTGACACGTTTTACCATGGTGGCTAGACGAGCTTGCTCCAGCTTCACAAGAGTTCACAAGTTTCACCAGAGTGAGACTTGTAAACCGGAACTAGTGAAGCAGTAAAAGTGCAAAATGCCCCCCCGTCGTCAAACAGCGCCCAAAGCGTTCTCCGCCAGCTCAACACTCATGTTTACATTCAAAACGCGAATCCATGTGAGAAAGAGAGGTATATCACAACCAAATTGTCAAATATGAAATCATTCCTCCGCAACTAACAACTAACCCGGTTTCCAAGATGACCTCTGAAGCCACGTATGTTGGCGTACCGCAAATTACCGTCAGCTTTCCTCCATCTTCTGGTAACTCAGTGGCCAAACCAAAATCAGCAAGTTTCAACTCAAATTCGCCATGTGGACCAGTATAGAGCTGAAGATGGAACAAATATACTATCATATTAGGAAATTTTAATACCGAAAACAAAAAGCAGAGCAGTTTGGCGACGGAGTTCGGAGGGGGAGGGCATTTCGCACTTCCGTTCCTTCCCATTCGTTTTCATTGCTTTACAAGGGTTGACAAGTATTTTTTGCAGGAGTACAACAGATGACAAGTAGTCTCTGCAGACTATCACTGTCAGCACTTCATGGCTTCATCAAATTTCATAGATTTCTAATTGATGGCTCGACAAGACAATGTGAAGCAGCAAATATGCAAAATGCCCCCCTTCCCCGTTGCCGAACTGCACCCAAAAAGCAAAGCGTAAGTCAAACCCATCAAAGCAAAGGTCTGAGTAAAAGTGCGATAAGCACTTCA